AGGCAGGCTCTTGGAATATCTGATAAGAGATACATTTCCGTTTGAATGTTAGAATAGGTCGATGAAGAAACTCAAATTGAATGATATCTCGATTTTTTCTACAGCGAAACAAATCGATACAAAACAACCACTTTGGATTCAGCAGAAAAATAAAATTCAAGTAGTACTCGTCGAAATTGAACGTTGTATAGCCAATCTCATTTTTGGCATTATCGAATCGATCTTTAGTTTGGAAAGTAGATCATATGAAGCCAATGTTGAATTACTGAATTTATTCCTCGATGAAATTCTTCTCCGAATGTATCCGAATAATTCGAATGTACACAATACTAAACAACAAATCAACTCAATAGAAACCTGTGGACATCAAGAAACAACTAAACACGCTTTTGAAAACTGCTTCAAATTTTTGAAACAACACAAAATAATAGAATCACCTATCAACATTCAGCAGCAGACAAGTGCCAAATCCTGCATTCAAAATCTTATTGTCAAGATGAATGATTTGAAATATCCATTGGACCAAGTATGCTCGCTGTTGAATATATTTATTGAAAACACGGCATTCAGCGACGCTAAAGAACGACATAGTTTTCTTGAACGAGTTATTTCGGTTGTTCAAACATTTACAAACTTCCTTGCTTCATCTCATCTCTCACCATCGTCGTTTGATTCGACTCATTCAACTCTCATATCTTCATTCTGTAACCAATTGATCAATCTTCTTCGACCTATTCTAACATTCAAACGGAAATGTATCTCTTATCAGATATTCCAAGAGCCTGCCTTTGTCGAAGCTCAAAGCAAATTTCGTGCTTGTATGTTTGAAAACCTCGAAAGTGGCCTCATTTGGGCTTTTGAACGAGCTCACACTGCCCCGATCATGTCAACACACAATCATTTCAGTAGCCTCATCAAGGATACTCTAAAAAATAAACATCGATACTCTGATACATTGGATCCAATCAAATTTTATCATCTTCTCATGCAATGGATAAGTTTACAATGGACATTTGAATCATTTTTAACGAGTAGTATTCAAGATGCAATTCAGAAAGAGAATTGTATCACACTTAGTTTTATTATTGAATGTGAAACAAAATTATGTTGTCAAAAGTTAACCAAACAAATTTTCTCGGCTATTCAAGAATGCATTCAATTCTTGCCATCGGAACCAGAGATCTTAAGATTAGAGAAAAAACTCGCCGAATCAAAGACTAAAATGGACAAAATGCAACGAGAAGTCGATGAATGTAAAGCGAAAATTGAGCGAATTAAAAAAGTAATTGCTGATGAAACTGAAAAGGAAGAACTGGATGTAGCTCCGGTCACGACGGCATCAAGCACTGTTCCAAAACAACGGGCACCACCCGAGAGAACAGGATCAGTATATGATCCGAATAGTACATCGGCTGATGCGGAAGAACGATTGGCAAAACTTGAGCAAGACTTTGTCATTCTTGAAAAGAACCTCCGTCAAGTTAAGGATGAACATTCGCAAAATGTAGAGCAACAGGCAACAAAAATCAACGAGGCAAACAAAGTACGAGACACATTTCAAAGTTCAATAAAAACTGTATTTACTCAGGAAGATTGTCAATTTATCTATCGACACTTTCAAATACCCAATTCGAATCAACTCAATCAGCTTATTGAACTTCTTAATAATTGTCGACAAAATCCATCTATTATGCAATCGGATAATACACTCGACGTTCAAGGTGTATTGAAAACCGAATTCGGTCGTGAATTGATCGATAGCGATGATATTCTAGATCATCCACTAGTTCTCTTCATGTGTGGTTTCTTTTTCTTACCATCTTTTACAGCAAGAACTTCGTATTTACGAGTCATCTCATCTTGGGATGAACTACTTAATCAAGAGACGGCAATTGATTTGCGTTCACTCAAACAGCGTCATATTATCTTCTACTGTCCAAATAAGAATTCCGATGAATGTTGTTTATTGACTGTGCAAAATTCTGCTCGATCAATAAAAATTATTATGTGGAGTTTTCAACGCAACATTAATGAAGATGAACTCGATCAAGTTCTCTCGGATTTACCGTTGGGCAAACTTCAACGATATATCGAACAGCGAGCACTTGAAAAAATAGCAAATATGTCGGATACTGATCAACAAACATTTGGCGTATCTTGCCTTTCTCTTCTTCAATATGATCCGATTTGGGCAACAGATTCGAAGTCAGTATTGAATAGTTCGGATTTATACAATCAAGTGACGCGTATCTACTGGCAATGGAAACGATTTTCTCAATATAGCTCAGCTAAACGTAAGGAACTCACCAAAGTTACTTATCAAAATTTAATTCGATTTGAGTCCGATCATAAAAAGCTTATTGAAAAACAATTTGATGATAATGAATGGTCATCGATCAAGGAAACATTAACTTTGTTGAAAAGCTATCAAAGTTCATTTTCGACTACTAACAATCACAAACTTTCGCAAGATCTCGATAATTATATTCAAACAATTCAAATACCTAATATTAGCAGTCAAATTGCTTCGCTTGTCTATATTCAACCTCTGGGAACAAAGTATGCATGCGTTAGCAGGATCAACACACATGTACGAAAGTTCATGGATAGTACCTCATCGGAGGCACAACCAAAGTTTCAATTGCTCTTTCGATTTATCGACGACAGTGTTCGATTACTCAAGTTACTTACTCAGCATGTTATTTATGGAAGTGAATTTATTTTGGATAAATTGTATGAAATTACATTCGGCAATAAAACTACAGCCGATAATGAAACAACGTTCAAGAAGAAAACGACATCCGGCATGATTGTTATTCTCGAGAACATATTTCGATCTACTGTTTCTTTGATCGATTTGAACAATGGCATCGTGTGCGCTCGTATAACACAATCGAAAGAAATCTTCGATGAAATGCAAAAAACTTTGAATGAACACTTCGATGCTATGCAATTTACACCGTTCATTTCAAAATATAATCTTGACAATTTTGTCGCGCAAATTGCACCACTTTTTCTCGAGAGTTGTCCTATCATACAAAGGCTGCCATCACGAGTACAACCCTTACCCAGCCCCGATCGAAATCAGCAGAGAATTGACGAATGTAATAATCGATTGAACGAACTACTGAGACGAGCATGCACATTAACCATTCGTCCACATGAGATCATCGATTGCATACGTAAAACTTTGCAACAACTTCAATCGATTGATGTTAAGAGAGAGACGGAGGGTAGAATTATAACGATTCTTGCCGAAGAGGAAACATTAAAGACTCGCCTCAATTTCTATGAACGAAAACTAAAGCAAGAAACGACATTCAATGTTAAAGTGCCAAATTTACGTTCAATCACATCGATAGATCCTGCTTCTGTTGACTTCGATGTTTCCCGAACTGATACATGCGATCGTCAAGAAGATTTTCAAGAACAACAAAAGAAAATCAAAGACAAAATTTCTTCTAGATCGTTCAATCAACTCGAACAAGCAACTCGGCTCATTAATCAACAAGTAGCACATCGAATATGGTCCCGAGCATTGTTCTTACTGACATCAAACGATTGGTTTTCTGCAAATTCTTCTTCGTCCGATAATCTAAAGAAATTACTAGCACCATTGAACAATAGCTTGACTTTGCGACTCGAACGAACACTTTCATCAGCATCGATAGACACTGTGGATGATCAAGAGAAATTGACAATTGCGAATAACATTACTCTTGCCTACGTTCAATTTCGATGTAATTTGCTCAAAGACGAATCTGAAGTTAAACGACTATCGAATTATAGGGTTATTTCAGAACTTTCATCGGCTATGAACGATTGGAAAGAAGTCTCTCACGTACACTTTCTCAATATGTTCGAATCAATCAAAACAATTACGCATGATTTAGCATTCATGCAAAATTGTGTTAAAAACTATAGTGGCGTTGCATCTTGCTGTCTTATGCCTGTCATTTTTCGACCGCAAGATATTCTTTGTCTTCTCGTACCGGAACAAACTGGTGTTATTCGAACAATTTCTGCCAATTACATCAAAATTGACGAATATCTATCGGATCCATCATTGTTTGAATTGACATTTGACAAGTCTTCTCTTGTTCAACTAGACGAAACCACTGCAACACTGAACGAATTGAATATCAACACAGGCCTCTTCAGTTTCATGTATGACAACGATCCGAAGACATCATTGATCGATCGTGATAAATACCTTTACTACATTACTGAGAATGCTATTACTATTTCGAAACAGTTGATCGAACTCTGTGTCGAATCGGACGCACAAAAAGGTTATCTCATGCAATTAGCAACCAGTGTTGTCGAACTATTTCCAATTCAAATCGTTTCGTCTCTTGTGTTAATCATTTTAGCGACTAGATCAGCTGTAGCCGTGTGCGAATTTCAACATTCTGACAGATTGGATTTGAAAGCAATCAAAGAGATAGAATCCAAAATCGGTAAGCTTCAAATTGAACTTCAAGACCTTCAGCGCAAATGTCGTGAATACGAATCTAATATGAAACAACTTACGGTAGAACGCGATGAACTGATACGCAGACTAGGCTACATAGAGAATCCAGCGTTAAGACGAGAAATACAAATACAAATTCAAGAGTTAGATCGTAAGATTGAACAAGCAGAAGAACAAAGAGAGAAAAGTAATCAAGATGTCGTCAGAAAGGTATCAGAATTAGATACAGAACAAAGTCAATGCAACAAAAAACGACAACTCGGGCAAGCTAAATGGACTAAGCTAATCAAACAGCACATGAAGTCGATTTCAGACAAAATTAAAGAATGTGTGCAGGTGATTAATAAATGTACCGGTCAGTCAACCGTGGCCAATACATCCATATTGGATCTGACAGATAGAGAAGCTACCTTGTTTAATTTTGTCACAAACACAGTTCGTCATCAATTCAAAGACTCCGATTCGAGCACAACTATTTCAACAATGGACGAGGATATGCTCAACAAAATTAGATCGATCGTTGAAATGGATTTAGATCAGTTGATCAAAGACACAAAAGATCTGTCCGACAAAGATCCAATGTATCACTTTTGGCTTTTCTATTCAAATTGCATGTGTATTGGCATTGATGCGCTAACCAATTCAATTGCAAGTTGGTCGAGCTATTCGACAAAAGTTCAATCTGAAGATACCAAACTTTTTGTTGAGCAAAAGAAAAGAAAGAAATTTTGTCAATTGAATATGTGGATACAAGAGAAATGCATGCTTTTTATCAAAAATATCCGAGATGGTCGCAATCAAAATGAGATTAGCAAGTTAGAAGAAGAAATAAGTCAACGAATTAACAATGATGTAGGCAACCTTGAAGGGGTTCTCACTGGTAATAATTGCAAATATGTTCAACAATCTCTTCGGCAGTTTCAACGTTTCATCTACAATTTACTCATTGTTGGTTGTCGTTTTACTCAAGTTCAACGTGGAAGTACACAAAATTCTCTCGACGATCTTCTAAGTTCGAATACACGCGAACAAATCGATCCACGTTTGCCATATACAGAAATCGGTCTCCTGCAATTGATCAATATGAGTGAAGTACAAATTCGAAGTCGGAGTGAATCAATACTATATCAAATTCTTCATAGTACATTTGGATTCAATACCAATGTATTTGGTCTTATTGATAAACTTGATTTATCGATTAAAACTGTTGAAAATCTTCTTCTACCATCATCGTATATGATGATTCAAATGTGGAATGGAATTGATACACTTCTAAATAGTATTTCTAAAAACATCACAAAAGACGAACAGAAAGCATTGAAAAATTTGTGCGAGGATTTCTCCCGAATGACTGAAGAGAAGGCAAAGCTCAAAGATGAAGATCTCTTTCTTTCCGAACAAGTCAAGTCTGGTTTAATTACTGATCTATTCAAACACATCGAAACATTGTGTAATGTGTTGGAAAAAAATCGATCAAAAATGAAAACATTTTGCAATGATGTATTTTATCTTTGGCATGTGACATTGAAAGAGATTTTGCGTGGGTTGATTAAAGCGCGAAAATATAACATACAAACAATACTTGAATTCAATGATCAAGAAAGAAAACATTTTCATTTACTTTTCGATAAGAGATATAGTGACATAAAACTTTACGATATTAATCGACTTCTTGATAAGAAAACTATTCTTTTTTGTGCATCAGTAACAAATAATCAACAAACAAAATATCTACCGAAATTACAAAAAATTCAAATGCTCTATTCATTTCTTCTCGGTTTGATTGACAATCTTGAAAATACCGTTATGGCTATGTCTCTAGAGCCAATCAGCTGTGACTTCCTAAAACAACTAATGGACAGAATTGAAAAATTCTATGCGGATGGATATGACATTCTAAAAGTACCGTTGATAAAATTCATCAATGACGAAATGGAAATCGACCGGCTACTGAGTATACTTGATGAAACTCGACGATTAGAGACGACCATATTTCGTAATCAAGTTGTCAATAGCAAAATTTATGCAGAAAAAAAATTGGACGAACTTCGATCGGTCGCAAGTAAACTTCAAAAACATGTTGACTTGGCTAAAGAAGCTTATTCTGATTGGCTATCTGCTTGCAATGTTCTGCTTGAGATACGTAACGAAAAACGCCGGAAAAATCGAAACATGCTCGACGCTGTAGTGGCAGCTGGAGGTCATGTATTATCTACTGTACGGTCATGGCTTACTTCGTCATCGAATAATAACCCAATACTTGATCAATATATCGAAAAAATTCGCGATTTCATGCGGCAACATCAACATGGCACTGAATCCATTTCTGTAGTAGCACCGCAAGGACCCGTTCTCCAACTATCGGAATTGCTCAAAAAAGGTGGCGGAAGGGCTGATAATACTCTGCAGCGACACAAAATTAAAAAATCGCCGAATTTTATAGAAATAAAAATTATATGTTTTATTTCAATACCCCAAATTACGCTTCAATTTGTTGGCAAAAATAAGGAATACGCATCTATTCAGCTTCCATTAACTGATCACAAAGACAACATCTATAATTTTATTATCGACAAGACGATAGATATCTTACTTATCACATTGGAAAATAATAATGTGCATAACATCGAATGGTCGAAGATCTTCAAAACCCCTATAGAATTGAATGCAGGCAATGGGCGTATTATGTCATTGGAAGCTCGGGATGTTCACAACGAGACTGTTTATACAGTTGTCGGTCACTCCCAAATGCTGCCAAAGTTCGATGAAACAATAAAATTGGAAAAAGAGATCGATTATTATTTATGTCAGGAACTTGACAATCAAAACAATCACCATAAATACGATGAAGATCAAAGGGAAATGAATCAATCGCCTGTAACAGTTTATTTGCGTGAAATGCAACGAATTTACGATTCTGTTGCTAGTACTATGAATCGCAAGTTGTTGCTTCACATTCCCGAATTAAATACAGCGCACGAACTTGCTGAATTATGCGAACAATTGCCCACACTAGAAACTCTCTGTGGAGCACAGACAAATATTGAAATGAAGGGTTATGCTTTGCCAGATTACATTTTGGAGATTTTAGAATGCAATGTCGATGAAAAACAGGATATCAAAAAGCAATATACGACTGCAATGAAGTGCGCATTCGATAAGGGTAGGAAGTGCAAAGAACAAATGAGGTTGACATTGGACCGCTGCATTTGGTTGCTTTGCGATGTTCGAGTTCAACTATTGGTCACTTATACGTGGGCAAGTTCAATGACAAATGATACAAGCAGTGAATCAGAAAAAATCACGAATATGTTTTTGGAAGAAATGGAACAACTTTATAACTTGTCAATCAAAAAGAATGAAAACTGCAATCGAATTAAAGCATGGGCAAAGTCGATGACGAGCGATACAAAGAGTGAATCAGAGAAGATAATGGACGACTTGTCTAAAGAAAATGAACAAATTTATAGTTTGTTACAACAGACTAATGAAAATTCCAATCAAATACACACTTGGGCAAAGACGACACAACAAGCTCGATATATTTATAAAACAACAAATCAAACAGCAAACAAGTGGCAAGAAATCTATTATTTAATGTCAATTCCTTTAGCAATAGAACAAAATGTACAAAATGCATTTGTGCATTCGAAATCGGCTGGTGATGCTCATGTTTGGCTTCATTTTCCAGATAAATCATCACAGCAGTCAAACAATATCTGCTGTGAACCTCAATTAGCATACGTTGATTTTGGCATTGTTCTCAGTGGCATTCGTCAACGTGTCACGCAACGAATTATTCTACACAATGAGACCGATAAAAATGTGAATATTCAAATCGAACTACACAGAGATTCATCAACGCATTGTGAATTCGATTTCATGCCAGATAGGATGACTGTACCGATGCAAGATGCGGGCGAAATCGATGTTCTCTTCAAATCACCGGATAATTTTCAAGACAAAATAACTCAAATGTTGGATTTGAAAATTAATGATAAAACAATGCCAAACGCAATTCAATTATGTGTTCACATGATCAAAGCTGATCTTGAAATCGGACCGGATGCAGCGAAATTTGACCAAGATAATAAAGAATTTTGGACAATCGATTTTGGGCCAGTACCATGCTGTAGTTTACCAATACCCAAGTCGATCGAATTGAAAAATTTATTGGATTGTACTTTAAATGTCAAGGCTCAAATACAAACAAATGAAAGACCCTATCACTCAAAACTTGACATTATCAAAGATGAATTGATTTTGGACGGAAAAACGACAGCAGCTCTCAGCTTGAAACTTCGACCATCAGAAAACAACATCGATGAAGATTTTGAAGCGACTGTTTGTCTGGCCATCAGTCCATCGAAAACTATCAAATGGCTGAAAGTTAAAGCGTGTATTCGTCGTCCTCGACTTTCTATTGCCTATCGCAATCGTCTATTGATCGGAAGTTTATCGTCACCAATGACATTGACTATATCAGATTTCTATATAGGTGAACATCGATGTATTCCATTTGAATTTAAAAATATTGGAGAGACAGATTTCGAATTTTCCCTCAAATCGCAAGATCTAACATGGAAATATGAACATACAAGTTTAAAAATGAATGAATCGACTGCAGTTACTATTGAAATACGATTATCAACACAAGCTAGTCGAACAAAGTTTCTTATTCCTATTCGGTTGGTTAACACTAAATATTACTATACATTAGAAATCATTTGTGAAACATCGACACCTCGACTAGATTTACCTGCTAAGATAACGAAAATTATTGAAATTAGTCAAGCAGCTCATCTACAAATGTTGTGTCATGGGGAAGATAAATCTTTGAAATCAATCATATTCGAAGGAACATTCCAAAATCGAAGTAAATCAGTGGCTACACTTTTCTTTTGCCAATTTATATCGAAAAGTGAACAAAATATCAAATTCCGCATGGAACCAGATAATCTAACGATTGCACCGGATACTGATGTTAAAGTAAATTTCGTTTATCAACCCATAGATTTGTGTGATTTGAAAGGCGATATTCAGCTTCAATCAAATTGCTGGTCACAGCCAAAAACGATCGATTGTTCTCTTGAAGTTAAGAGGCCAATCTTTCAGTCACGTCCTCAAGCTATGATTGAGTGGGGAAAGATTGAGAATGGTCGAATCATACGACCATTATTGATGATAAAAAATAAAGGTGCAAAAGTATTACGATTTCAAAGCGACTCGGCTAAATTACAACAACCTTTTGTAAAAGTAGCATCCATCAATCGGCCAAGTGGTTCGATCAATCATCCAATTGAAATTAATCCGTATGCAGAAGATTTTTTCGATATCAATATCGACTGTGAGTCAGTAGAATCCACTGCTCAAACAGCATCACCAATTGAACTTGCCGAATTGAATTTGACAAGTTTGCGTGATCCGGTCATGTCTATCGATGGACAATTGAAAGAGCGTTCAATGAAGATACTTGTTGTTGGTCATCTAAGTGACGTTGATCTACCAAGACAATTGAGTGAGAAAGCATTCAAGGAATGGAAAGATCTTCGACTCATACCATCATCATGGGTTAGGGATATGGCAATGAACAGAACTATGTTCGAACCCTATTCATTGCTCATTACAATGACCACTGCTGCGTATGCTGCCAACTCTAATTCAATCAGTATACTTCCGCACACTATCGAAGATTATAAATCAATTTTGAATTCAATACATTGTCACAGCAGTATTTTGATTGATCCATTGACTCTCGATGATATCTCTAACAACCCATCGTCTACGATAATCGATTTACTGAATAAATTCTTTCGAAAGATCGTTAATTATCAAGAATTTTTCCGCCATTCAATACAATTCTACGAGTCATTCAATAGCATCGATATTGCATCAGCGATCCGTCTACAACTCTATGCAACAATTAATTCAACCTCGAACAATGACGAAGCCTATACTATGCAATCGTATGTCAGCAGAATTTTGACTAGATACGGTCAAATTAAACCAGGCGACAATCTATGTTTTCAAGCATTGAAAATCGTTTATGAGTGTATCGGCAAAGATCCGTTCATGCCTGCTCATCTTCAACCGTTCATTCAATACATTCGTTGTGTCGTACTGCCTCAGATGAAGGATGCGGATGACGTTGAACGTTTACTAACTGATGTGATGAAGCAATCATCGAAAGTCTCATCTAACAATCTATGCGATCTGCTCGCTTCGGACTCCGCAGACATTCAGTGGAGTCTTGTCTTCTTTTGCATACCGACAGAAATCAAGCAAATTCTTGTGTCTTTGATTAAACAACAAGGCGACTTTTATTCTTCCCTCTTATCCTGTCATTTAACTGTCGCCGCTTTTGGTAGATATTCAAATTTACAAACAGTTCTGTTAGAAAGTTTGGAATCATCAACAAAATTCTGGAAGGACATTGATCAAATGAAAAAACGGCGCTGGTTGTCAGCAATTTTGTCGGATCCAATTGAATTGATTGATCTTCTCACTAGATCCAACAATGACACACTCAGATGGACTATCGTCAAAGCAACTCGTTATATTTTGGAATATTTCCATTGTTCACAGGATTTGTCAACTGTCGAGTCCTTGTTTCAATGTAAGTATGATACCATCCGCTATATTCTCCAACCTTTGGGCTACACTTACAGTGAGATAAGCTCTCTTGAATCGAAAATTTTCTTGTGTAAAACTACCAGAATTTTCGACGCTTTTGTCGATGACTTTTGTCAAATTTTACATACAATGCTATCACTCAGTCCTGACAAGTGGAATTCAGTAAAAGCAAGTATAATGAACTTTAGCTGGCTTCATTACACAAACATTAGCGAGAAAAGTACTGTGGCTCAAGTTCTCATGAATGCACTGTCATTGGCATCTGAATTTAGCCCTAATTCTCACTTATGGGTTCGTTTACGAGACAAATTCAATGACGTCCATATCAATCGAGATGCACATCATCTTAGCACTTTTATCAAAGTAGTGGCTACTATAGAGAATAATAATTCATCAGAATCAAAAACTCGTCCAATGATCGAGCTTGTCAATCATCTGTGTTCCCAGGACTTGAGTGAGACGACATTCGAAAATGCATTTGAACTTTGTCGAATGATGATGGCTGACGACAAACAGATTGAACTTGATCGAAAACGTGAAATTATTCAAGCTATACCATTAACACAATCAGTAATCGAAAGCTTGCCAGTGGTGCATGAGATTGTTTCAGATTCTATTGAGCTTCAACAATTGATTAGTGCCTATCTTTATCTTGTTAAATTACCAACTAGTCTAATTGCTAATAGTGCATCGAACGATGAGCAAGCTCAATTTGATTTGCTCGAACAAATGGTTCCATCGTGGCTGATCTTGAGTTCAGTTACAAATCGCCATTATTTCGACGTTGTATCATCAGTTTTGACATCGTTCCATGGTCTTCTCGTATCATGTGGCACACCATTCAGTGAACGACTCTATACACTAGCACTGACGACTGCCCTTTGCACTTTATCGAATTGTCGACTTGCGAAACGTGTTATTGATAATCAACCACAACGAACAAGAAGCAGTTCAAACTCTCTTGTCCAATGCATTCGACAGAAAATCCTTCGAAAAGTTCAATTAGCTCCTGTAACGGTGTTAGAACCTGTTCAAGATTCAACTAATAATACTGCAATGGGCTCTGCCAACGACCGACAATCAGAACGAAAACGACCTTCCAGACAGTCTTCGCGTCTTAGTAGCACAACTATATATTCAGAATCAATGCTTGGCAAAATGTCTCATATCATGAAAAACTATTGTGATGAACAACATAAAGCAAACCCAACTTTGAAAGAATCGGAAAAGCCACGTGGCATCATTCAACAAGCATTCAATAACCGTCAAAATATTGATAAATGGTTAACAGTATTTACTACATTCAATATCATACTTCATCATAATCTCGATTCGAATACGAGTATGGATGTTATTATCGCTCAAGGGCATAAGATAATTGAGCGTGGTCTTCTTTTGTTGTTGCACTCACTGATAATCAAACGAATTCTGGAACCGACATTTTCTCGTGCAGGTGTTCAATTTGTTATAGTTGATATCATGCGTCTAGAAAAATGTCTCCTATCTCTTGCTTTGGAGAATTATCCAGGCATAAGACAAACGTTACATCGACTGCAAGTCGATGTTAGCAGAATCAAGCAGATAATGCCATCGATAAAATTGAATCCGCTTCCTAGTCGTCAATCACAATCAGACCAAAGCATCCAAAACACGGCTCCGCCGGCAGACGATAATCAGGATAAAAATAATAAAGACAGAGACCTTCGCGAAATTATACCTGACCCAAACAAGCCGATGAGTCCCGCTGAATGGCTGAATGTAATAAAGAATGAGGGTTCGGCAGAACTGAAAAAAATGATCAAGAGGCCGCCAAACCGCGGGCCACAGTCGTCCCACAATTTGATTCTTAACCCAACGACTCCGAATAATGGAACAGGTGCAGGTGGTGGAAGTATGAATAGCAACACGTCACAAACGGGAGGAGGAGGAGGAGCAGGAGCAGGAGCAGGAGGAGGAGGAGGAGTAGGAGCAGGAGCAGGAGGAGGAGGAGGAGAAGAAGAAGGAGCGGGAACGAAAGGATCCACTTACTCATCGAAGGACGACCTCAACAGTCAACCAACTAAACCAGAAACCGATAAACCAGACGTCAACTTTGAGTTCACAGAAAAGCATTTACTTGACTACATTGAGCATATGAAAAAGTCTAGTGCGAGACAAATGGACGAGAACATCGCGGATCTCGTCGATCGGCCCGAACTGACACACAATGACAAAATTAAGCAATGGACATATTCAAAACTCATCGACTCAAAAGCCATTGCCTTAATGATCGATACTCTGTTGGAACAATTTCGAACAAAATGGGAAGCATTCTTGAGTAATCGAACTAGTGAATTAGAAATTCATTGGTGTATCATGATAGACAATTCGGGTTCGATGAATCCCCGTCGAAATATGATTTATGAAAGTTTAGTTATACTCATGGAACTATTACGTAAAATGGAATTCAAATTTTCTGTGGCACGATTTGGCGGTCGAACGAATCAGAAAATATTGAAAGATATGAATCAACATATCTTTACCAACAAAGACGGTCAGTTTATTCTCGAAGCCATTACATTCGACGAAGGAACTTATCCGGCTACGGGTCTGAAACGCATTGTTAATAAAGTCTTTTCATCATCAAAGTCAGAATCAGTGGCGCATCGGGTTGTTCTGATGATCACAGATGGTCTCACCGATGAACGTGACACGAGCAACTTTTCATCTACAATTACGCCATATGACATTAAGCTTGGCATTATGCTTATTGAAAGTATTGAAACATCAGCGAACGATCCGTTTTTGGAAGCCCTTAGTAGCTTAACCAAATCTCGAATACTACCAGCCAATGATAAAAAGAATTTGTCAATAAAAATAGCTGAATTGATGAATGATATGCTCGAAGTATGTGCGAATACTAAGGAAAATCCTACCACAATCCCCATCCAAGCATCGATAAAAATTGGTATACCGACGTTGGATCCACAAGGACCAACCAAAATCGCATGGGTCGATGACAAAGAGAATTCAACATATCAATCAACGAGACGCTATGACTACAAAATTAGTCAACCAAATCGATCTATTCCAAAACTTGATCGCATCGAGAAGGAAAAAATCGATGCTTATCTATTATCGGGAAACACCAATACAAACTCTCTGACAGAGATAACTAAAAGCCTTCGAGAATTTTATCAGAAGTTTCCAATCGATCATGCACGAAATGACGAACAATCCTGGGATGCAGATGAACGACGCCTGACTGGTCTCATCGATGAACTCACAACAGTGTTAGGCGATGTTGTCTTTCCTATCAACAAATTTACTCGACGTCGAGCAGCTCTGCGAGGATCGTCTCTCTATCTGCCCGGCTTAATCAAGGCAATGACCAGTGAATGGACTTACAAGAAAATCTTCAGCGCTAAACTGGCTGGTGGCAAACGAAATCATGCTGCTTGCATTATTCTTGATGTCTCGACATCGATGTTCGGACACCTCGGCCGAGGTCTTCAGGAAACATTAATAGCGTTGATTGGTGCATTTCAAAAATTAAGCTTAGAAAATTATGGTATTCTTGTGTTTGGTAGCGAAATTCGACTGATTAAAACAAATGAACAACCATGGGACGCTGCATGTAAAATGGTATTGTCACAACAAATTCGATTTGACCAAGACAATGATACAAAAGATGCTGAAACACTTGAACTCGCCATCGATCTTCTCATAAATTCTGGCACTCGGGGCGAGAAGAAAATCTTTATTATTACAGATGGCTATGGCAATTCGGGTAGCCGACTTCCTCTTGTTCAACAACGTGCTGAAGATGCGAACATCGATGTCATTGCAATGGCCATCGGTGATGATCGAACTTATTTACACGGAGGCTACAAACGTTATCTTCGATGTACGACACCCTATGGTCTACCGAAAGCTCTGAGAGCTCTCTTTGACAATGAACCATCAAGTGAATCAATCGATCAAGCAATGGATATCAAACGACGAGATGATCTATCTAACGCAATATTGACTGCTGATGAAGAAGAAAGAAAACAACTGTTCTCCGATCTTGAAAACAGAAAGGAATTTAAAGATATAGTCGAAAAATTAGGAAAGGAGCGTGAAACGATTCTTCAAGATAGTGGCGAGTCACCTTCGAGTATGATATGTGATATCTGTTTTTGTATTGATTGTACAGGCAGTATGTCACGATGGTTGGAAGAAACGAAAAAACAAATGAAACATATTATTCAAGAAATTAAAAAGCAAATCAGTGACAAGTATCCATCACTTAGCTTACAACTTCGCTTCGCTATCGTTGGTTTTCGAGACTTTGGCGATAAAGACAAGGACGGTAATGACAACCAATTTGAAATTAAAGATTTTACCGATGATGAGAACGCGGTCACTACATTTCTCAATGACTTAGCTGCGTATGGAGGCGATGATCTACCGGAAGATGTGTTAGGTGCTTTGGATCAGTGTTTAAAATTGAAATGGAGTAAATCGAATGCTCGGTTTATCATCTTGATTACCGATGCACCTGGTCATGGACGAGATTTAAACGACGATCCGTTTGACAAGCATCTGGATAAAACAAAGCATACAGTAGCATCTATCTGTAATCGTCTTCTGAAGCAAGAATCCGAAATTCAACTCATGTTCTGTTGCATCAATCCAAAGGCAACTGAGAAAATGCAAAGATTATTTGAAAAGGAATATAATAGTAAAACAGCTCAGACAGGAAAAGAATTCAAGACAATAAAGCTATTTGGTGATAAGCCAATCGATTCACGATTATTTCATTTCGTTTTTGTTCTTGACGAATCCGGTTCAATGCAAGAAACGCCTTGGCATGATTTGGTGAAGGCCTATCAAAGCTTTTTGGATCGACGACGAAATGATCAAGGCGGTAATGATCTGTTCTCTGTTGTTCAGTTTGATTCAGTGGGTCAAATCCTATACCAACAAAAACATTTGGCTCATACACATCGAGACCTCAAAATGAACGGAGGTGGCACTAACTATCTCACTGGACTTCAAGAAGCAGACAAAGTTATTGCTGCTGATACCTCACCGTCTACAGTGATGATGATATTCATGTCGGACGGGGATAATGATGGACCAGATCCATTGCCGACAATGAGTATTCTTCGTCAGAAGTATTTAAGGAGTCACAACTTCATTTGCCACACTATTCCATTCGGCTCCGGTGCACAGTCGGGTAGCGATGCAGCGAATCTTTTACAGAGTATGGCAACGAATAGTGGTGGTCAAATGTATCCGGCCTTGACGGGTGATGAGCTTAAGCAAGTTTTTGAAAAATTAGCAGCAGATTGCACAGTGGCTAACTCACTTGTTGCTGACTTTACCAAAATACTGAGCGAAGAAGTCAGTTGGAAAATTATGATGGACTGCTTGTGAAACTGCGCGTATGGCTTTTTATTGCGTCTCTTTGTGATTCCTTGAGTGACTGATTGTAGTTAGCAAATGTGTGCTGTTTGATTTCTTATATTATCTTTCCAATAAATATATACTCCAGAACACATGAAAGCTGATATTTAATGTATGGTCGTTCCATTATTTCACTCTGTTCGCAGCCACCACGAATCTTCTTGAGAAAAGTCGAACATTGTTCGCGTGTCGATGTGTTCAAGCGGCAGAGGATTTTCTTATTAGTAGTCATGGAGAACGAACCGATCTCGTTGGTTCGCAACAGTTCCGAATAGATTCTTCAGCTCCGAGCCATTCTTATGAGATCGCAATAGGATTGAACGAAGCCACGCATCAGATCTTTTTCGGCGAGTTTGCCCGCGTGCATTTCTAGTAGCGTCAACAAATTCCTCATCGCACTTTCAACCGTTGTTACTGACAGGGTTGGCGCGATCGGGAGGGGGCGAGTGACTCCCCAATAATCGAAAATTTCTGTTCGGTCAAAGGCGAAAGTAAGGTATTTTTCGAATATGACAGAGGAAATTGGAACATTTTCTGTGAAAAAAGCAATTTTCTTCCACCAACAGTCAAAAAGTTTCACTTCGCGAAAAGTAGCCTTTTATGCATCTTCATGTATTAAAGCCATCTGAATTTCTCATTATTTTTCCACTAGCTGTGAGCGCTTTAGTTCTAATCCCTTTCGACTGTCAAACTTCTCTATTCGAGCTCGTGAGAGTATCGCCTCAGGCGATTAAAGCGTAGCATTTTTCTAGAAAATTGCACATTATATTGAGCAGGCAGCGTTCACTCTAGACGAGTATTTGATTTGCAACACATCAATCATAGAAAATTTTCGCCTTCGACAGAAATAAATTTAACATTTTTACTAATCTTATTTGTTCGACTATTATTTTAAACTGCGACGAAAAGTGAGAATCTTCTTCTGAGACCCTTGCGAGCGTGGCCGCCTTCGGTAACAATGGATACAAAATTATTTTCGAATAAACGGGATCGTTATGCAGTTGCTCAAGCAAAAAGTGCTTTTTTCTAATGATTTTTTCCGACAAGTTAGAAAAAGTGTCAGCTCCATGGAAGTTAATTTCAGTTTTATTCTCTTCCTACAAAATAGCTTTCTCACGTGAAAAAATACGATGCAGAATGAGCGACTTTTTATGCGTTTCGTCTTGCGAAAAAAGTACACAATATGTTTCGTGAAAAACATTTTCAGACGCCCCCCCCCCCCTTCCAATCCTCACAGCGG